ACAGTTTGCTGCTTCAGTTTTCACAGTGAAAAGCAAAGAAGTAAATGTTTATTTATAACCAAGGTTTAAATTAATTTTTACAGTAAATACAAGAAAAAGGTCCCAAAGCAGGCGACTGAAAGACAAAAAGTTTACTGTGTTCTTTTGTGAATAAAATATCAGCTTATAAGACTTGAATCATTTTACACACCGTTCAAACCTTTTCAGAACTGGGATTGTAATTGCTGACGAAATGGGGATACTGGTAATCACTGGAAATAAGTAAAAAAAAAAGGGACTTTAATAATTTAGACTTAATAAGTTAAAGTTTTAGGTCAAAGTTAACACCTACATTTTGCAAATGATTTAGTCATTTTCTTAAAGAGAAAAGGGAGAAGAGAAATTGGCAGGAACTTGAATTGTGACAAAAAGTTACGCTGATTTAGTTGAATGAAATATGACGAACATTACGCAGTAATTTCAGTCATGCAGCTTTGTCTTTAGATAAACCAGAGTATCGGTAAAAAATAAAAATGCAACAATTTTTTTGTGTTGGGTTGTCTAAAAGCTGCATTTATAAAGGGGGAAAAAAGTTGGGTCCGAGTATAGATCTCTGAGGCACCCCACAAATGAAGCACCATCATCAGTGGAATGAGTGCATTAATGGAGGGGTCTCAGCCTTCCTCCTGATGGAAACTTAACTGTCACGCTCCTAATTCCGCCTTTGGTTTGCCTGAAAAGTGCAAATAAACAACAAAAACAATCAGCACCGGTTATCGAGTGTCCACATGTTTGAGGGATACCTAGAAGATTTTATGCTAAATCCTTCGAGCGCCTGGTGCAGCATGGAGCCTATCAGTTATCTGGTGTTCCAGGTGCTCAGGGTTAATCAGCGTTCGCGCTGCGCACCCAGAGCAGACAGCTCCCTCACAACCAGGCTGCAGGTGCTGCTTGTTATTACGTTCATGGTGTCACTGTAAATCTTCTTGCTCCATTCTTCCCAGAATGCCTCTGACTCATCTGACATTTAGTCCCTGTCTCAGCGCCTCCATCCATCTTCCCCCCCCCTGCGTTTTCACTTTTCTAATACCTTCATTCACAGACATTTTGTGTCACCTCCTTCAAACGTCTCTCCTCTGGGTAAAAAAATAAAAAAAGTTCCACTTGAATACAGAATCTGTCAGAAAAAAAGACCTTCAGACTGTATTTACTTGTTCCTCTTTTTGTTGGTTCTTCTGCTGATTGTTTCCACTGGACTGAAGTGGGAATGTAATTAGAAACGACTGAGGCATGGGGGGCATAGGTTTATGAGTAGCTAATATCTCCCCCAGGAGCTCGTGGAAACAGGATTGACATTGGAAGGCATGTCTAATTATGGCTCTGCACATGGATATGTATTCACTAAGGGCTCGCACAGAGAGCCTCGCAGATGCTGCTTCAAGCCCGAAGGTCTCGGAGTTACGGACGTTTCTTCCAGGCCGGCAGTAATGAGATTTGAAATAACAAACCTACAGAACTGTCGGTTTATTTGTTTTCTCTGTCCGCCTGTGGCCCGCTACGCCAAGGCAACATTTAAACTGGTAATTGGTAAGAAGTGGAAAAGCCGCAGCGTGTGCTTCGACGTGCAGAAGTTCAAGACCAGCAACGTGATCACACGGGTCTCTGCAAGGCATCCAAATAAACAAATGTATGTGAAGATAACTGATGTTCCTCCTGATTAAGCAGCTATGTGCGCTACAAGGTGCAAAGTGGAAAAAAAAGATTTTAGACTCTGTTAGCTGATAAATCACTGCAGCGGAGTCGAGGGTATAATTGCATCCAGCGGCCTGTGATGATTATCAGCTGAAACTTTTTAAGAAGTTCTTATTTCGATTCATTTTAGCACAAAACTTGAGCTTAAGCACTTTTTTTTTGGGGGGGGGGGGGGGGGGCTGATGTTATTCCACAGTTTAGTGACATGGACCAAATGATTGTGATCCCAAATAAAAGCCCTAACCAAACGATGATCGCTCTTTGAACTGAAAGAACTAGAAAACCTCAGCTGTTTTCATGACTTCAGTTCAGGTTGCATTCAATTTTCAAACCGTACCAGAAACAAACCATTTTTTAAAACAATCGACCCATTTGTTGTGTATATGATTCATATTATAGTATTAACCGTTTCTGTATGGAACTCCATTTCTGCCACTTTGACACATGAAATCAGTCCAAGTCATAGTTACAAAATGTTTAAATTTTGACACAACATCTCATAATTACGATACATGACTTCATAGAGATTGAGATGTCCCGTTAAATGACAACGAGGATCACTAAACTCAGATCTTTTAAAAACGATACGTCCATCACACATTTATTGCATTTACATTAATTACATTTACTTCACGCCTCTATTGGTTCCATGATGCTCATTTTATTTCTGAAAGTTCACATCTGTGCAGGACATTGTCAGAGATAAATTATCAACAGTCGGGTCAATGCAGCCATTTGTTAACCGTTTTGTGAACGAACCCAATAAGTAATTTTGGCTGTAAAATTAAACAAGAAAAGCAAAGTAGACCTGATTCCTTTACTCAAATATAACTGTATTTTTCAAATAGTTTATCCGTGGCAACATTATACAAAATTACCAGAAATGCTGTTATGGCTGTCCCCCACATGGCCTCCTCTTAAAAAAACTTTCTGGGGATCTTTATTTGTATTTATAGTAGCAGAAGGTTTCCATGCAGATTTGTCCAAATCCTATAGCTTTGTAAAACTCTTTTTCCTAATTGATGGGAAAAATGTTGAAACATCCCTGGTTTGAACAGATGCCAGTGCATGAACTCTAATCTTTTGGTTCTGATGTTTTTTGGGTAAACCTTTACATACAAATGTATTTTTTAAACAAGTATTGGTATTTTACAATGTGATAGTGAAATGTCCTTAACATGTTGCTAGATGTTGGAATGACAACAGAGCTAAACTGAATCATAGATCAGTTTTCAGTGTTAGACTAAGTGTGTATCCACACCAACCATTTATAAAAGTTAAAGCAAGTACTAATAACCGTTTGTTGGATACTGAGGCCATAGTAGGTCATATAATGGATAGGGATGCACCGATCCACATTTTTGTACTTCCGATCCGATCCCCAAATCTGGATATCGGCCGATACAGATATCGTCCCGATATCAACAATTTTATATGAGGTTGTAATAATCTCCTCTCAAGTACAATTTGTACAAATCTATGCACGCATGTCCAAAAAGGCAACTTGAGGTAAGTTTTATTAATGTTGGGTAAGTTAGAATTAAATCCTGCTAACACAAAACATTTTTTTTATTCCTAGCTTTAAAGTGGATATTAAAGTGATTAGATGGCTTCAAACATCTGCTAAGTTCATGTCATCATAAACCAACACAGACATGTTCCTGTTTTTAGTATTTTACATCCTTTTATAATGTAGCTGTTTTTGTTTTGTTATATATATATATATATATATATATATATATATATGTGTATGAGGCACGCTCACTCTGCCCCTCCTCCGAGACGGGCAGACTGAGCGTGGCTGACCGGAATCAGACTGCCTTCTCCGGACTGAACAACAATAACACACCGCTGAAGCCACGGAGCTCGAATGTCCAACGTAAAACTAACTTTACCGCGGTTTAATGTGGTGCTATGGCTCTGCAGACATTGTTTTGTGGTATTTCTAGTGTAAAATACTTCCACACAGCGGACATGTTTTGATGAAAAGTTGGTTAGCTGTTAGCCACAGTGCTGCTCACATAGTCCTCACATTGTAGCTGGCTGCAAACTATGAAATGGATTTCCTGAATGTGAAGCGGGTCTTATTCATGGGTTCATGAGACACACCTCAGTTCAGGAAATCCACTCCACAATTTGAAGTCAACTTGCAAAACAGCTGGCAGGGAATCACATGTGGAGACGTTTTACTTGGAGACAGACATGTATCGTGGATTGGAAATCTCTGCAGGTTGGATTGAAAAAAATCTGATATGTAAATTATGCTGGTATCGAAGCCCGATACGGATACTGGATCGGATCGGCCCCATCCCTAATAACGGATATACATAAACGACAAATGAAAGTCAATAAGATGTCAAAGAACCAGAAGTAGGAATAAGTATATTTAGACTAAAGTATCTTTAGGCTGTTCTTCAGGGGTCGCCACAGTGAACGAATTTGCATGAACGATTTGTCAATTGTTTTACATCGGATGCCATTTCTGATGTAAATTTGAATCAGCAACCTCAGGATTGCAAGACCGCAGCACTGACCACCGAGCTGATGCCTCGCAAAATTCCGACTTCGATCACATGCATTAGTATCAGTGGTGTAGTCTATGTGATACTGGATATATGGAGTATACCCACTAGAAAAGCTTAAGAATTTCAGTATACCCACTTAAAAGTGCCCAATGATACAGGACATATAATTAGGCACGTGTCATTGATACATTAAATGGCAGTTAAACGCTTCCGTAACAATCTATTGATATGCAGCGCTTTGCTTTGATACAGTTTTATAAATTTAATAGCATGTTTTTATACAAAGCAAAGTGTTGTACAAAGTTTGTTGTTCGTTTATTCAAATAGTCATCAGAGAAATTGGGAAATGTTCAATATGCTTAAAAATCTAAAGAAATTGATGATTACATTTAACTAACCAGTGTACTTTGGTTTCCAAGCACAGTATACCCACTACAAAAATGTAGACTACACCACTATCTGTAAAAACAAGAAGTAAAAAATGTATATTAAAAAGCCTGGAGTCACGAGTTAGCCTTCATGCTCCTCCTCCTGCAAGCGGAGGCTCCTCCCCGTCTTGTTGGCGCTCCGCCCCTCCGTGTGGCACTAATCGCCCACCATACAGCAGGCAGCGCTGTTCTGGAGTGACTCCCGGTCGGACCGGGTGGACGTACGGATGGCTCGTGTTCCCGCCGGCTCTCCCGTGATGCTGGGGCGTGTTCCGGGCTGTTCTCTCCATCCTCTGGACCGTCTGGTCGGTCGAACCGACTGACGGCGGATGTGACCGCAGCCGCCTGGAAAAGCTCCGTGAGTGGCGGCGCGAGGCTCGGCTGGTAAGTTCACGGCTGATGGAGACACTTCGTCACGGTAGGATTTTGTAAAACCATAATTACACTAATATTTATTCAAACTGTTTAAAATAAAATAAGGGCGTTTCTTTTCAGGGCTTCCTGTCGAAAGACGACATTTAAAAGAGATTCTTTGAAGATGCTGCTGCCACTTGAGTTTCTTTTTCTTTCCTTCTTTTTTTAAAATCAGTGAAACAATTTTCTATTTTCAGCACCTCAACTTAGAAACGCACGCACAGCTCGCGTCATCTGCACGTGGACGAGCAGCGCGTGCGCAGACAGCTATCCACATGAAATTCATTCATTCATTAAGTTTTCACACCTGCTGCTGCTTCAGAGAGACTTTACCATTTAAATATTATCAACAAAATTCAGTGAGTAAGATGATTAAAAGCGTGCTGTGCAGGAGGAGGATGTTAAAGACTAATGTTTTGTCCTGTCAAACATTATATTTTTGTAAAAAAAACAATTATACAACATGGTACATACCTGCCATGTACTATGTACCTAGTATACACGTGAACCAGGCAGTGATATGTTAAACAGTATTTACAGGGTGCATACCCCATAGGTACTACAAACATACCCAATAAATACCATATTAGTACCTGATAAATGCCCTATACTAATTATGTACCCAGTTAGTAACAGGTATGAACCTGGTAAGTACTCTATACGTATATACCTGATATGTAACCTTTAGGTACTAGGCACATAACCCTTGCATACCTGCTAAGGTACATACTTACCATAAGTACCATACTTAACGTACGTATCCTATACGTATCAGGTACATAACCCAGTAATGTAACTGGTAACCCATAGGTACTAGGTGCATACCTGGTAAGTGCCAGGTACGTACACAAAATGTCCTATAAATAAATATGCCATAATCCACATACATTATTTATAGGTATTTGTTATATACCCAGTGAGTATCCTGTAAGTACCAGGTCCATACCTCATAGGTCCCAGGTACATATTTGATAAGAACTTTAAGTTCTAGTTATGTACTGGGGGAGAGGGGGTGTTTCAGTTTGGTTGGCAGGGCGTTTGATTCTGTTGATGGGGGGGGGAGGGGGGGCGCACAGCTGAGCTGCAGCTGTTTGTACCGGCAGTTTTTGAGCAGGGGTGGGGGGTGTTCAGTGTGCGGGAAGAGGCAGCGTGAATGCTCTGCCCTGTATCTTAACTGTTCGTAGGACTGTGGTCTTCTGGACAGAGATCCTTGAGGTTGTTCTTGGGATCTGTTGGAGCCACTCTTCTAGTTTGGAGGTCACAGCACAGAGCGTTCCAGTGACCACTGGGACTGCCGGCACTGGGACTCCACAACTTCTGTATTTCCTCTTTGGCCCTTGTTATTTCTCGAGCTTCTCGTGCTCCTTCTTCCTAGGCCTGTCATGATAACAAATTTTGCTGGGCGATTAATTGTCTCAGAAATTATTGCGATAAACGATAATATTGTTTGAAATTTAACAATGATTAATTGTAAAATTTTAGAAGAAATATTGATTTGTTTGGAGTGTAGTACCATTTTTGACCACCTGATGGCAGTATAAGGCTGTTTGAACCAAAGGATGGATAGTTGAGCAGAGTGTCTCTAAGAAAAATGGGAGGAAGGGCTCTTTCTTGACGTGACGTGGGCTGACATCGTGACATGGCGGCCGCTCGATGATTTGAGCTCTTTAGCATAGCATTTTTCCCACAAAGCTTTTAATAAAAATAATAAATAAATAAAAAATCAGTAAACAAGTTCTCAGCTGGCAGCACGGTGGCGCAACTGGTGGAGCTGCTGCCTCTCAGCGAGAAGGTCCTTGGTTCAAACCCCGGTCCAGGGGCCTTTCTGGGTGGAGTTTGCATGTTCTCTCCGTGCATGCGTGGGTTTTCTCCGGGTGCTCCGGTTTCCTCCCACAGACCAAAAACATGCATGTTAGGCTGATTGGTAACTCTAAATTGTCCCTAGGTGTAAGTGAGAGAGTGAATGGTTGTTTGTCTCGTTTGTCTCTATGTGTCCCTGTGATGGACTTGCGACCCGTCCAGGGTGTACCCCGGCCCTCGCACAGTGATTGCTGGGCATGGGCACCAGCGACCCCCGTGACCCAAAATGGAATAAACGGGTAAAGATAATGGATGGATGGATGGAAGTTCTCAGCTTCTTTTTGCAGAGAAAAACAATTTTTACACCAAGGCACGGGTTTCAACTGTGAATTTTGGAGCTTTGACATGACAGAGGTTTATTTCTGATGTCGGCCTGTTAGCTTAGCTCATAGCTTAGCTGCTTTTAACGATCCAAAAATGTGATTTTGGACGGTTAAAACAGATTTTAAAGAGAAAGGGGAGGGGTCAGTGAAGAGTATCGGAGTTGAGCCTTTTGTCATCCAGTGTCTTCAGTAGAAAGAGAGAGACACAAAGAAACGATAAAGCCGATAAATGAAATTGAGGTTGATAGTTTTCATTCATCATGTGATTAATTGATTTATTGTTTATCGCAACAGGCCTACTTCTTCCTGATGTTACAGTCACTTAGGATTACTACATCTATCACCACTGCCTTCTTCTCTTGCTTGTCGACCACCACATCTGGTTGGTTAGTCATCACCTGTTTGATGGTCTGGATCTGGAAGTCCCACAGCACCTTAGCCTTTCCATTCTCTACTCTTGGTAGCGTCTCCCAGTTTGACTGTGGGACATCCAGTCCAGACTCGGCACAGATGTATTATTCCACTTGGTGATGGTGTTCCACGAATGCTTTGCCTGCCTGGATCTTACATCCTGTTTTTATGTGTTGGACTGTCTCAGGGGCCTCTTTGCACAGCCTGCATCTTGGGTCCTGTCTCGTATGGTAGACCAGACTCCATTGCTCTTGTGCCGGGGGGCCTGTTCTTGTAGTGTGATGTTTCCGTCAGGTCTCCGGTTTCTCAGTCATGGATCATGTTTCCAGTTTGTGCCAGTGGAACCTATGAAAACTCAACCGTGTGGGAACGGTGTCAGGAGATTTAAGACTCGGGACCACCTGTTGACAGATCCCCTTCATGTTTCTGATATACGGATCCAGATATTCCTGTGTGCTCCGGTCCCTGTCAGGTGAACGGTTCTGATTCTTTAATGGAGAATGGATCCTGCTTTTTTTTTTTTTACTCCATCAGCTGTGAGCTGCAGTTTTCCCAGATTCTGTGCATAATTCTCCCTCCTCCGCACGGTGCAGCCAGACTCCTGCCCAGCCGGTGGTATAAATAACCATGTGGATGGAGCAGCTCTCAGCTGGGCCCGGTGCTGGCAGTGCATCAGCACTTTAGGGAAGGCCTGTCAGAGGATTATTGGGTTTCCTTATCGTCTTCATCCCTGCTGATGACAGTGAAGCTGCTGTGGGTCAGCGGGTTTCTCTCCGAGTGAATCAGCTGCGCTTCACAGAAACTGTTCAGTGTTTTTACTGGTCACTCTAGAAAGATAATGCTCCTTTATGGCTATGAGAATCAACAAAAATAAAAATTAGCATCAAGAGACGTCACAGTTAGCAGTGATCTGACCACCTCAACAAATGGGATTTTAATTCAGCCCTTTATTTAAAATCTCTCACAAAAATTCTGATTTAGACTTTTTTATGTCATGAAGACAAGTCATGAAGGAATAATTCAGATTTCAGAAAAGGGGGATTCTGTGGAAATGTTCTAAAGAGTTACTATCTTACCTGTTGTAGATTTTTGAACCATTTTAGGTTGAAGAATTACATTTAGAGATTATCCATCCATCATCCATCCATCCATCCATCCATCCATCCATTATCTTTACCCGCTTCTTCCTTTTCGGGTCACGGGGGTCACTGGTGCCCATATCCAGCCATCACTGGACTAGAGTTGCATTCAGGCCTAAAAAATCTGGCCCCAGCCCGTAGCCATTTTTTCAGAACCCGACTCAATCAAACTGTAATTAGGGGCCCGAACCCAAAAAATAAAATAACTTTTTTTTTTTATTAAACTTTTACTGCTTTTGTAAGCAAATCAGTTTGACATTATAGTTTTAAAAACATATTTCAAAGAAAGGAAGACTTTTCTTGTTTTTTAACAAGTCACTAAATGGATGTTAAAAAAAACGAATAGCCTAACAAAAATCAGCTCTAAAATATTCTATTATACAGATGAACAAAAATATTTGTAGAGCAAAATTATTTGGAAAAATATAGAACAAGGCTATTTTAATTGAACGCGCTGCTCGCATCGGCTTTTATAGCTGCTGCTACTTCCTTCACCGCAGATGACAGAAGGTGCGGAGACTCATGCGGCCGGTGATCAGCTGATCCATTTGAAGCTTAACTGGACATTTTTCTTTTACCTCTTTCAATCAGTTGGTCAGACCTGCCTCCTCCTCTACAAGTAGATTAACACAGTTTTATATTGTGCATTCGTATTTAGTTTTATTTGTGCTGTATGATTCATAAAACCGCACCACAGCCCGAGACCAACCTGACCTGCCCATCAAGCACATAATTTTGTGCTGACCCGGCCCAAATTTCGGGTCGGGCCGGGCCCTGGACAGGTCGCAAGTCCATCACCGGGCCCATTTAGAGCTTAACATTAGTTAAATGCACCAAAAGCTAAAAGTGACAAAATTCTAGTCAAGAGGGAAAAGGAGCAAACCATTATCTAAAAGTAGCTAAACACTAGCCAAAAGCTAATAATTGCACAATGCTAGTCAAAAGCTACAAGCAGCAAAACGTCTAAAAGTAAGAAAATGCTAACTAAAATCCAAAAGTAGCTAAACACTAGCCAAACGCTAAAAGCAGCAAAACATCTAAAATCTAAAAATAAGAAAATGCTAACTAAAATCTAAAAGTAGCTAAACACTAGCCAAAAGCTAAAAAATGCAAAATGCTAGCCAAAAGCTAAAAGCAGCAAAACATCTAAAAGTAAGAAAATGCTAACTAAAATCTAAAAGTAGCTAACACTAGCCAAAAGCTAAAAAATGCTAAATATTAGTCAAAAGCTAAATGCAGTAAAACGCTAGCCAAAAGCAAAAAGCAGCATAACATCTAGAATCTAAAAATAAGAAAATGCTAACTAAAATCTAAAAGTAGCTAAACACTAGTCAAAAGCTTAAATGCAAAATGCTAGCCAAAACCTAAAAGCAGCAAAACATCTAGAATCTAAAAATAAGAAAATGCTAACTAAAATCTAAAAGTAGCTAAACACTAGCCAGAAGCTAAAAATGGCAAAATGCTAGCCAAAAGCTAAAAGCAGCAAAACATCCAAAAGTAAGAAAATGCTAACTAAAATCTAAAAGTAGCTAAATACTAGCCACCAGTTAAACTAGTCAAAATGTTAGCCAGTGACGACAAGTTACTAAAACCAAAAGCCGTAGCACCATCTGCTGACTGAGCTGAACCTTTGGATATTCGAGTGGAGAGGAGGCGTTGTGTTCTTGTTTGGTCATGTTTACAAACTGCTGAGTCATTACTCATCCTTCAAGCGTTTGGATGTTTACCACCTCACAACAGGAGAAGAAAATATCTGGAGAAAAAGTGAACGCTTGTTTGTTTGTCTTTCAGGATGCGTCTGCTTGGTCTCGTACTGTTGTGATTCTGAACTCCTCAAGGTTTTCTCCTTTGAAAAGATTTCTTCATCTCGTCCTGAACGCCGCTCGATTCCTCGATGGGTTCTCGCAGCCAAGGCTTCTTCCACCACCACCGCAGCTCCATGTTGCCGGCCACAGTGCCGCGGCTGCTGCCCGAGAATGGGAGCCTGCTGGGAGGCATCGCCCAGATCACCCCGAACCTCTTCCTCAGCAGGGGCAACGTGGCGTCCAACCGCAGCCTGCTGCTGTCCAAAGGCATCACCTGCGTGGTCAACGCCACCATCGAGCTGCCCAACTTCAACTGGCCTCACATGGAGTATGTGAAGGTCCCGCTGGCCGACATGCCCCACTCCCCCATCTCCCTTTACTTCGACAGCGTGGCCGATAAGATCCACAGCGTGGGCCGCAAACGAGGGGCGGTCCTGGTGCACTGTGCAGCCGGGGTGAGCCGCTCGGCCTCGCTGTGCCTGGCGTACCTCATGAAGTACCACCGCGTGTCTCTGGCTGAGGCCCACGCTTGGGTCAAGGCCCGCCGTCCTGTCATCAGGCCCAACGGAGGCTTCTGGCGCCAGCTGATTGAGTACGAGAGGAGGCTGTTCGGCAGGAACTCTGTTAAGATGGTGCAGACGCCCTACGGGGTCATACCCGACGTTTACGAGAGGGACCGCAGGACCCTCGCTCCGTACTGGGGTCTGTGAGCGTCGGTCGCAACTCTGTCTGCGCTCAAAGATGTAGGAGGAAGGTGAAGCTGGTTTGCCTTTTTGGACTGGAGTCACAGACCTGTTCTGGTTGGGGGACGCCTGAGTGTTTGAACAAAAACTGGTTGTCAGTGGCGCTGCTGTTGGTCCAAGCAAGACTTCAAGCAGAGGTTCAAATGGGACCATAGTGCTAACGAACAAAAACTCTGAGCTTGGAAGATGGTGCCGTCTATTTCCTGGAGGCGAGCCCTCAGAGAAGGCTGTGCTCGGGCCTCTGCAGCGCTGACGGTGATGATCTTTCTCCTGACGTAGTGTCACGTGGTGGTTATTGTGTCTTCTGTAACGTTTAGTGTGAAGAGCAGCAGTACGCTCTTAATTTATGGTAGCATTCACAAAAAGTGTGCAGAAAAATAGGCAAATTATTTTTTTTTGCAATGTACTGAGAAAGAGAAAAGTTATGATGCACTTTACCTGAACACTCAAAAGATGTCGCAGCTACATTTTTGAAGGTGAAAACTGAAAAGATTTCATCAAGAAGTGAAGGTTTTCAGTGAAAGCTCCTGTGTAACACAGGGTGGATCGTCCTGTCATGTTCCTGTCGTGCTACCTGAAGCTTTATTAAAAGATCTCTGCTGCTTCAAAGAAGCGGCAGCTCCATGGAGGGTTTCTCTTCATTTATTGTCTTGAGTTCACATTCAGTTAAAGTCGGAGGGGGAAAAGCACAAAACACTGCCCTATTTCTGTGGTTTAAAGAATAATGTTACTGAAGCTGTAAATCTTTCTTCTGCTGCTTTCTGGGTGAGGGTGGGTGGGACTCCTCACTCGTTAAAGGGATGTTTCAGATCTTTTAAAACCAAGATTCTGTGGATAATTAAGGATCTTCAAGTGCCCTTCAAATTTTCCCGTGTTTTCAAAAACTTCAAAATGATTCACAGTAGTCTCTCACCTATCGCGAGGGTTACGTTCCAGACATCCCCGCGATAGGTGAAAATCCACGAAGTAGGGATGTTATATTTATTTTAGTATTTATATATATTTAAGGCTTTATAAACCCTTTCCACACTCTTGCAATGTTCTTAACAACGTTCTAAACGATCTAAAAAGAGCACAGCTAAAGAGAGCAGACAGACCGATGCTATGGTTACTGAGCCAATCCTGGGGCAGACTGCCCATCGGGGGGCACCAGGAGATTTCTCGGTGGCCTGGCCCGCTCAGTGATCATCGAGGGGCTGGACCAAAGCCTCAGTTTGAGTCCCGCTGCATTATTTTAAATAAACAATCCATGCTCCATCAAATCCTCCATTCTCTTTCTGAGGCTTAGACAGCCTCAGAAAGAGAAAGGAGGGGGTGGGGTCTGTCTTTCCCCATTGCTACTGCTCAGTGATCTTCAGTGAGGCGGATACCTGAGTGAGCGGCATGGATTGTTTATTTTAAATAATCAAGCGCAATCCGAACCAAGCCCTTGGTTCAGCCCCTCGGTGATCACCAAGCGGGCCAGGCCACCGGGAAATGTCCCGGTGTTCCCGATGACCAGTCCACCCCTCAGTACAACGCTCTGATTGGTCGCCTTCCATCAATCAGCCAATAGTGTGTCGTGTACAATCTTACGTTGAAAACCTGCAAAAGAGTGAGTCTGCGAAAGTTGAACCGCAAAGTATCGAGGGACAACTGTACTGGGATTTCAGGTGATAGACCAACACATAGTAGTATATAATTGTGAACTAGAGGAAAAATAATGCACGGCTTTCAAAAGTTTTTACAACTACAGATCTTAAAAGTGTGGCTTGTCATTTCCACTCAGTCCCCCTAACTCAGTACTCTGTAAAACCGCTTTTCACCGCGATTCCATCCGCACGGTTTTTGAGATTCGTTTTCATCAGCTAGAAACTGAAAATGTACATTTTTGCCCCTTTATTTAATAACTCCAGCTTGGTCAGAATAGATGAAGAGCGTCTGTGCACAAGTGTCAGATTCTCAGTCAGATTCTGACTGAGCCATCGATGGTGATCCAAGATGGCGCCACGGACAGCTGCCTTTGTGTTTTGGTGCGTTTAGTTTTGCGTTTGTAAAACTCAATGTTTTGCCTCTTACACCAGAAATATCAGGACTGGAGTCCCCAAGTAGTTACCTCCATTAAATATTTTCCACTTTTGCATATCGTGGTCATTTGTTTGCATATTTCTAACTCGTGACAAAAGTGTCCATGTTTGTTTTTGTGTGTTTGTTTTCTTGTGAACCTCCTGGTAATAATCCTGATTCTATGTGAGATGTTCAGATCTTAGCATGTTACTTTATGTCCTGCTTTAAACATCCCAACAACTTTACCCCAGACCTGCCTGCTGTGCTCCTTGGTCTTCATGATGCTTTTTGAGCACTGTTTCGTAACAAACATCTGTGGCCTTCATCGAACATCTGGATTTAAACTCACTTTAAGGTGGACTCTTTACTAATTTTTCTCCTGAAGGCAGTTGCGCTGGATTTTTGTCTGAGGTTTCAGATTAAAGGGGACAAATTTCCAACTTTTCACATTTTTATTTGTAAAAACGTTTTGGAAACCGCGCATCGTTTTTGATCCACTTCATAGTTACGCTCTATGTTGTGTCGGTCCATCATAAAATCCCAGCAACGTGTGACTGAAGCGTGACAAACAGCAGAAAGGGCAATGAATGCTTCACTGTATCTACAACAGGTAAGATATTAACTGTTCAAAACATTTCCATAGCACTTTATTAAAGAAGCTTTGAACTACTGCTTTAAAGGCTTCTGACATTTTGAAGTTTTTTTTTAAATAGAAACCACTAAGCTGCAGCAAACATCCATTAAAGCAGCACATTTTTCTCTCCAAGCCCGACTTGAGGACAAATTTTATTAAACTTCCTTCTCAGATTTCTTTATCTGCAGTGTTCAGCTGCTCGGTCAGTGTTTGGCTCAGGAGCTCAGACTGCTAAAGATGTGTTAACACTTCGCCCACAACTCAAGTCGGGCCAAAATGTACAAGAAGAGTGAGCAGAAATCTGTCGAACCAAACTGGTTCTTGCATGAAGTTGTGGTCCAAACTCCGCGGCGTTCTGGAGGCCTGCTGGGAGTTTATTATTGATGATGGGTCGCCGAAGTGAGAGCTGTTCTATTTCCACAGAAGGGTCTTTGTGCTCTTAGCATTCGAAACTCAGTTGACTGCTTAAACAGCAAAGGTTTGTCTGTCTTGTTAGCAAAATATCATCATCATTGCACCCTGGACAAGTCGCAGAGACAAACATTCACCACTGAATTTAAAGCTACCAACTAATTTTTGTGTGTGTGGGAGTAAACCAGAGGACCCATAGGCAACATGTGAACTCCACCCAGAAGAAAAGGAAGGCGATCCTGTTACCCCCTTACTGAGAGGCGACAGCTCTAACCACTTCTCCACTGTGCCGCAGAGGTTAAAATACATTTTATAAATCTAGGAGAGAAGAGGACAAGCGTCGTTAGATGGAGTAGTGACTGATTAAATCTAAAATGTTCAAAATAAACCGCGAGATAAAACTGAAATTCTGTGGATTCTGGTTTAGCTGCGACACCACAAACTTTTCACTGGCACCAGTCTGACCATTTGTGACCATCTACTGGGCTCTTGGTCACCAGAGATGAGAATGATCATTTGAAGAGACTGTGATTTCAAAGCATGCAATAATTCAACATTCTATTAAAATGTAAAGAGCATGTTCTGCCAGGAGGAAATGTGTATATATGCTTTATTAATGCTTCCCACACTCTTACAATGTTCTAAACTCTTAAACCTACGTCATTTTAACAACATACATATGTTATATGTTCTGTCTGGATGAGTCCTCGTGGCTCAGTGAGGCTGGCCTGTATAAATAAAGTTTGAATGAAAAATGTACTGTACAGTACCACAAAAAAATTCTCACCATCTCTGCAGAACAGTAGCTCGGTTCCAGTTCTGCAGACCTACCCTGCAGCGATGAAGCCCACCACCTCATCCAGGTCGATGTGCACGTGGATAATTGAGCTTCAGGATTATTTGCCACTTTCCTGCTAGTGCTATGAGCTTAATAGATATATCGTTACTTCTCACTTTGCGTTGCAAAACTTTCCCTCCATTTCGACAGAAAGCAGCATCCAGAAGCACTGTTGGCTTCTGGGCCGTGCAGTTCTTTTGGCTGGCGTTACAATATAAGCTTATTGAAAGAAAACTACAAAATGGTGGCACCTGTCTGAATTTTTTTTCATCAACTTTTTATCCCGTACCGTCTCAATCACGTGAGTAATATTAAAGATGACATGTACTGTGCCGTGTACAATCTTACATAGAAAAACTGCGACAGAGCAAACCTGTGAAAGTTGAACCGTGAAGTAGCGAGAGACTACGGTATTTTCAGTTCCTTGTTGCCCAAAAACAAAGTTTCTTTTTTTTTGTTTGAGGCCTAAAGAGCGCAAACCAAACTTTGCACTCAAGAGGATAAAACTGTCTGGATGGTGGTGGTGGGGTTTACTAAGATTTTTTTAAAGGGGGTGGGGGGCAATACCCCCTCTTGCTTTGCCCCTGACACTGTACAGTTGTTTAAAAGCTGAAAATGTTTTTGCAGTCTGATTCGATGCGTCTCTGAGGTGTTTCATCATGAACAAACGACAGTAATTTTTCTCTGAAGGCCTCCCCATGTTCATTCTACCCCCCCCCCCCCCCCCCCAAAAAGAGACCTCTTCATGCGGCAAAGAGATGTTCTGACATTCATTCTCATTTGCTGTGGCTACAGAGCAGCAAGCAGAAAGTGATGAAGGCGATTCATCTTCAGCCCACCCCTCTGGAGTGGTCTCGAGACGAGGCCCGTCTGATGATAGTCCCAACGCCACAGAGACGTTCGAGTGATGGCTCCAAATTATACGCTGCAGTGCAGGCCGGGCTTTTTCCCCCAGAACAAAAATAAAAAAAAGAAATCCATTTCCCTCGCATTCTGCTCCCGGCTGCGTTAATGTAAGTTTATGCAGGTGGCTGCCGTGGCCGTAAGTGAACGCGTCTCTCGCCAGA